GCCCCTAAAATTGTGTTGTTACTTCCATTTATTATCCACTGAGTCCTGAAAGAGTTTGGGACGACAAGACACATATCCATTTCCTGCTTACTTTATGACTTTATATTAAAGAATCATCTTTAGATCATTAAGTGTGTCTACAATATGAATTATTTATTTCTCTCTGAAGTCACATATGCTGACCAGAAGTCTCTACTATCCTAGGAATGATGTGGTTTTCAAGCACCACCATTTCTCTTAAGAAAACTTCCTGGAACTTAGGAAAATTGGGTAGAAACTCTTCAAAGTCCTCTTAGTATCATTTCTTGTCCTGTCCAGGTCATTGTTTTTCGCCAGCATTTTTCACATCTTTCCCTTCAGGCAGTTTGATAAATTTTTGCTTTTATGCTTGCTCATGGCCCCTCTTCTGAAAAATGAAATTAAACTCAAAAGATAGTTACAATAGTGATTTCTGTAACTGGAACCAAGCCAAGGCTCTATGTGTTTTATATTCAGACCAGTTATGAAAATTTGGCATCACTTGTGTCTCTCCTTCCAAATCTGTGAACACATATGATAAGTGATTATTGTGTGTAGTTTTAAAAATAAAACCTTAGAGGCTAAACCACAAAATATCTTTTGTGAAGTTGACACATCATTGAGTATTCTGTAACTGACTCACTGTCAGTCATCAACAGAATCTCCTACCTTTAATTCAGACCCTCTGCCTTCATTTTGTTACTTCAATTGAACTACATCTTCCCTTTGAGATCACTGCTTACTTGGCAGCCGTCACAAGTGGTGGCAGTTTTTTCTCCCACGTCCTTCATCAACACTAGACTGGCTCTTCTCTCGCCTAATCATTCCAATTGGGTGTCTTCTCTTCTTTTTCAGAAGCTGCTCATCTCAGGCCGCTCTCCCTCCCTCCCTCCATAAAAACATCCTCTGTCAAATGTCGTGTCATCAGAATACTACACCAATTTTTTGTTGTTTACATCTCCCAAGCTCTGGGTCACTCCATTCATTTCTTAAAAGAGTTTCCTGGCTCAGTCATTCTTTCCAACATTACTTAATGTGATCATATGTGATGATTTCAACAGCCACATAAATAATCCTTCCAATTTTCTGGCCTCTGTTTCCTGACATCCATTTCTTCCTTCTCCTTGTCCTTCACTCTACCCCAGCCAATAGTCTCCCACAGTCACACTTTATAGAGTTTGTCATTATCAGTACATGCCACTCCTTCTTGATTTCAGTTAGCCCCCTTTGACCTCAATTCCCCTGGTATCCCATCTCTAGCAACCCTACAACTAAAAGCCCTATGAACTTCTCACCGTTCCCACCATGTCCATGCTCCTCAGCCATGCTCCTCATTTAGTTTAGACTTCATTGTCTACATGATAATCATTACTTGACACATCTTTTCTTTTTTTAAATTGAAGTACAGTCAGTTTACAATGTTGTGTCAATTTCTGGTGTACAGCTTAATGTTTCAATCATACATATACATACATTTATTCCTTTTCATATTCTTTTTCATTATAGGTTACTACAAGATATTGACTATAGTTTCCTGTGCTAGATTAACACATATTTTCAACTCCATTGTCCTTTCTCCCTTCATCTCACCTGGCTAACCATACCCATCACCTTGGTTAAATCCCCTTTTCCACCTACTTGGTTCGTGGATCCACATAATTAAATATGCCGGAGGAACATACAAAAACATCCATGTCACTAACCTTAAGTGGGTCCTGAATGATGGCAGCAATTATATCACACTCCCCTAGTTATTTACTTTCTGACCACTTCCAACCTCTGAAACTCTCCTTCCCCCTCATTCTTAGATGGTGCCTTTGGGTCCTGTTCCCGTGAGACAGTAGAGGCAATCAAAAGCCTACACCCACAAGTTCTCACCACTTCATCTCCCCATTTACCTGCCTGTATTTGCTTTTATTGTTATGGAAATTCTATTACTGTTCTCAAGACAAACCCCTCAGTTTATTGGCCAGTCATGGGCATTTCTCCAGCATTTGATCCCTACCTCGTCAACATTTTCATTTTTTCCTTCTCTGCTGGGATATTCTATTTAACTTAAAAATACGCTATAGACTTTCACATCTTAAAAATCCCCTTTGATTTCACATCCTCTTCCAGCTATCACCCTACTTTTCTGTTTCTCTTTATAACATTAGTCCTCAAAAAAGTCTCTATTTGCTATTCTCATTTGTCTTCTTCCTTGAATGCATTCACCCACCACCATCACCACCACTACTCCACCAAATATTTTCTTGATATTTTGGCGACTGATTTTTTTACATTATTAAGCCCAATGATGCATGAATTAGTGCTCAATTTTCATAATCTGTTAGCATCTTTTCACATGACTGATTATTCTTTCCTCTTGTTGAGATCATTTCCTCATTTCTCATGTTTTATTTTACTTAAATTTCTGGCTATACGTCCTCACTGCTTTGCTAGTTATTTTTTATTGCAATGACCTCTAAATATTGGAGTGCTGCAAGACTCAGACTTAGTCCTCAGATCTTCTTTTACTTTTTCCACATTCACTCACTAGGATGTTTTATCGTCACTGTAAAAGCATCTATATGCCCAAATTTTAGCTGTAGGCCGGAGCTCTCTCTCAAAACCCAGACTCCTATACCTGATTGTTCTCTTGACCCATCTGAATGTCTACTAGGCATCTTAAACTTAGTATGTCCAAAATTTAAGTACCAATCTCCACTTCTCAAAAATTAAATTACAGATAAAAACTGCTTCTGATACAACTTTCCTCATATCTGTAAATGGCAACTTCGTTCTTCCAACAGTTCAAACCGAGTCATTCCTGACTTCCCCTTTTCTATCACATCCCACATCTATCTATCTGTCCTTTCAAAATACAGACAGAATCCCATGACTGCTCACTATCTCCATGGATACGATTATGGCCCAAACCACCATCCTATCCTATTTGGTTTATTAAAAGAGCAAGATCGCTTTTCTATTTCTATTTTCTCTACTTAACACCCATTCCACCCTTATAGTTTGTTCTCAACACAGCACCCAGAGTGATCCTGTTAAAGTATAAGTTGTATATCATGTGTCTAGAGAGGCCATTGAGTCCTAGGAAATTGCTAGAATCTCTTTCCTGTTGCACTGGCTAGATGAAGTAGGCAACCAGGCTCCAGAGGATGGTGGGTGCAGACTGGGTCCCTGGATTATCAAATAGAGGAAGATCATACACCAAAATAGAGGAAAACCATACGCCAAAAAGGAACACCTGCTTTGGATGATTATATAAATCTATTGGATTTGAGAAATTTTACATCGTTGAGTCAGTTTGTTCCAGGAGTTAGCTATACTCTAATTAATACAGATCATGTCATTTTTCTTTCGTAGCCCTCAATGACATACAACTTCATCAGAATAAATGCTAGTCGCTTACAGACCCTACAAACTCTGGCTCCCTTCTATCTCACTGACCAAATCTCCTATAACGACTAACCAGCTCCAGCCATGCTAGCTTCCTTCCTGTGTCCCAAACACATTAAGCACAACCTCACCCCTGGGGCTTTGCATGTGCTCGTCTCTGCCCTTAGAAATACTCTTCCTCCAGGTATCTGACAGCAACCTTCTTACCACCTGCAGGTCTCATCTACTTTATCAGAAGCCTCCCTCACATTCTTTCTCAAACAGCAACTCTCCCCCACCCCTTGCACTTCCTGTCCCCCCATCCTACTTTGTTACATTTTTTTCATGCTACTCAAGACTCTGACATATTATATGATTTACTTGTGCATTTGTTTATGAATGTCTCCAATCATATTAGACTAGAACCGCAGAAGGGTGGCGATGTTTGGTTTGTTCACTGTTATAGCCTCAGCTACTAAAATATATAGCATACATATTATATCTATATAGCATATATGTGCCACATAGTAAACATGGAGTGTACACTGGTAAATGAATTATTTATTGCCCCTCCTTTGAAAAGTGAGACATTATATTTGTGATGAAATCAATTCAATATTTCAACTTGATATAAAGTTACTATACTTATAGAAATAGCTCTAACCTAGACTTATGACTATCTAAGGTATTCTTTACTTGGATTCAGTTGGTTATGTATTTGCCCTTTACCCTGTGAATCCTGAGCCCAGATTTTAAATGAAGTGCTACTTTAATGATGTCAGACATACAGGAGAATGATTTCAGTATTTTTGCCGATTTATCCTGTTTATAATATATCCAGTTTATAACTAAAATTTTGTCAGGTTTGTTTGTTTGTTTGTTTTAGGCCTTGCCTTCTTAAAGAAAATAGAGCTGATTTTCTCAGAAGAAAACCAAGCATATACCTTTGTTCCTAGGAGAGTATCTCTTGTCAAAGTCAATAAAACAGGGTTTTACTTTGAAGTTGTCTCCTCAGGTGAAGAAAAGCATGAATTCCAGGATTACATACTCACTCTGTAATGAAGTCATCACTGTCTGTGTAACCCCTTTCCTCCCACATCTATGTGGACTCAAAGGAACACACCATTGCCTTTCTCTGTTTCTGAGTATCAGGATGTATGCATCGCTGTGGGGCTTGTCAACCACTGCAAACTCTCAACAAACAATAAATCCTTGGTATAACAGCTGTTAGCTATCATTAAAATAATAATAATAATAAACTTTAACATCAAATTTCTTAGTTTAGTCAACAGAAATACTGCTTGTCTACTTTTAATTATACATTAGATGTGGCTTAAAACTGTAGGAATTTGGTTACTATAATATATTTAACCATTTTTTGGCCAATGGTTGCTATTAAAATTCAACTCTAAAATCACAGCTTAGTAATAAGTTCTAGAAGGAAATGAAACATATTCCCCTCCATCTCTCTGAATATTATATAAAAATAAAAACAACCACAAGAGCAATAATAAGATTTATTATTTTATGAACTGGAATGGTACCCCAAGAACAGTGTTAGTTTTTTATCTATTTATTGCCACTAAAATAGTTTTCCTGGACTACAGGTGCAAGAATGTGCTGGGTGAGTGTGGGCAAAGGGCCAGAAGAGAACTTCAAGCTTAGTCAAGCGACAAATCACTAAGGGATGTGTAAGCCACAGCTACATTAAGGACTTTGAATTTTATTTGAAATAGAAGATAATCATTGCTCATTTTCTTTCACTTCTTTTTTTCTACCCCACTTTTTGCTCTTCTTCTTTATCTTCTCTGCTTTATTTTTCCTCCTCCTTTCTTTCCCCTCATGTCTTCCTTCTCTCTTTATATTTTATTTAAGCACAAGAAGTATCATTTGTTCATTCAAGAAATCTTTATTGAATACCTAGTACATATAAGATACTCTGCTAGATTCCGAAAAAAATTTGCTCAGGAAGACAGACCTAAATCCATCTCTCATAAAAGTTAGAGTCTGGTGAACAAGGTTGACATGTTCAGGAAATTGAAATAAACCCAGTATGACAAAATTAAAAGCAGGGAAATGTCCAGAGATGAGGTCAGAGAAAAAAGCAGGAGCACATCACAGGGGGTGTTGTGAATCAGATCAGGAATTTCAGTCTTTATGCTAAGAGCAATGGGAAGCCATCAAAGTATTTTAAGCTTGGAGATGATATGATTTGTGTTTATGAAAGATCACACTGGCTTTGTGTGGAGAATCAACTGGTGGAGGAGAAGAACGGATAAGGAAGTATCAATAAGATTCTATGGCTATAGTCTCTGTAAAAGAGATGGTAACTTGGAACAAGAAGGTGGTAGTGATGGTAGGAGAGGCCAGTATTGCAGGAGGTGGTAGAGGTGAGGAGCAGATGGAGGCATGGTACTCTGTTTGAAAGAAATTTGAGTGGTAAACACATCAGAAATTGTGGTCTAACTGTACCCATAAAAATAATTAAATAAGCAAGCACTTCCTCCTCCAGCTTCCAGAAAAGTAGCTGATATCTTTTTATTTTTAAATTTCCTCTCCTTTTACTCGCACTTCTTAATATGGTTTCCATTCCTCTATGCCACTAAAATGGTTTTTAATAGGGACTGAAATAACCTCAATAACATTCAAACTACTAGATATTTTTCACTCTTGACTGCTTAGCATCATTCAATTGCCTCACTCCAGAGCACTCTAGTCTGTGACTTCCATGACAGTAGAATCTCCTTTTACCACAGTGGCCACTTTTTCCCTGTCTCTTTTGCCAGTTTGGCTCTCAGTTCTCTCCTGGTCTTTAAATGTTGTAGCTGGTCATTGTTAAATCCTAGGCCCTCTCCTATTCTCACCCTATAGTCTATCCCCATGCCATCTTATTTAAGGTCATGCCTCTAAAATTTACACCTCCATTTCATACGACTTTTCTGAATTCCAGACTCAAATCTAACTGTGTATATTAGAGCTCCACTTTAATTCTTCACTAGTACCTCAAACTCAACATGCCCATTCGCAGACTGGGAAGAACAGAAAAGGACAAGGTTTGGGGCCAGATGGATATGCGTAATTGAAGGTGTCAGTGGCTTAGATATATTGAAGGAGAAAGTCTTTGAAAATAAGGTCAAGAAATTGGGAAGCCAGGAAATTGGATATATTTTCCATGAGAACACTGAAGGTACCTAGAAGAATGACAAAAACCCTTAAGAAAATACTAACAAACTAAATTCAACAGCATAAAAAAATTATGCACCATGACCAAGTGGGATTTACTCCTGGAATGCAAGGAACGTTCAACATATGAAAATTGATCAGTGTAATGCATTATATTAACAGGATAAACAGAAGAAAAATAACACGGGCATCTCATTTGATACAAAAAAGCATCTGACATAATTCAAGCACTTTTCATGATATAAAGACAAAATAGAAATAGAAGTAAACTACCCCAACATAATAAAAGCTATAACGAAAAATCCACAGTGAACATCATACTTACTAGTGAAATACTGAAAGCTTTTCCTCTGGTATCAGGGACAAAGCAAGGATGCCTACTTTCACCACTTCTATTTAACATAGTACTGCATGTCCTAAACAGTAATTGGGCAAGAAAAATAAATAAGAGGCATTCAAATTAAACAGAAAGAAGTAAAATTATCTCTGTCCACAGATGATATGATCTTATATGTAAGAATCCCTGGAGACTCCACAAAAAAATTTGTTTGAGCTAATAAAATGAATTTAGTAAAGTTGCTGTATACAGAGTCAACACAAAAATCAGATGCATTTCTATACACTAACAATGAACAATCTGAAAATTAATTAAGAAAATAATTTAGTTTTCAATAGCATCAAAAAAATACTCAAGATTTAACCAAGGAGGTGAAAGACTTATACAATCAGTACTATAAAGCATTACTGAAAGAAATGACAGACACAAATAAATGAAAGACAACCCACATTCATAGACTGGAAGATTTAATATTAAGATCTCTATACTTATCAAAATGAGCTACAGATTCAACCCAATCAGAATTCCAATGACTTTTTTTTTTTTGCAGAAATAGAAAAGTCCATCTAAAATTCACATGGAATTTCAAGGAACTCCAAACAGGCAAAGTAATTTTGAAAAAGAACAAAGTTGGAAGATTTATACTTTCATATTTCAACATGTACTACAAAGGTGCAAATTTACTATAAAGATAATCAAAACAGTGTGGTATTGGCATAAAGACAGACATACAGAACAATGGAAAATAGAATAGAGAGCCCAGAAATACATCCTTGAATATATGGTTAAATTATTTTCAACAAGGGTTCTAAGATCACTGAAACTGGATATCTACATACAAAAGAATGAATTTGGACCTTTACCTAATACATATGCAAAAATTAACTCAAAATGGATCAAATACCTAAATGTAAGATCCAAAACAATGAAACTCCCAGAGGACAGCATAGAAAAAAGCTTCACAACACTGGTAATGATTTCTTTGATATGACATGAGAGGCAAGGCAAAAAAAAGCAAAATCAGACAAATTGAACTTCATAAAAGTTACAAATCTTTGTACATCAAAGAACACTGTCAACAGAGTGAAAAGGAGACCTATGAAATGGGAGACAATATTTGCAAATCATATATCTCATAAGAGATTAATATCCACTATATAGAGAACTATTAAAGCTCAACAACAGAACAAAACCTTGTTCAAAAATGGGCAAGACTTGAATTGATGTTTGTCTGAAGAAGATATGAATGGAAATAAACACATAAAAAAGTTCAACGCCATGAATCATTAGGTAAATGCAGATGAAAATCACAATAACTGCATATGGAATAATCCCAAACTAAAAGCAATGTTTATGCCCATTAATAATAGAATGGATAAACAGAACAGTAAAAATGAAGTATCCAGATATACCTGCTATGAATCTGAAATACATAACGTTGCCCCTAGTCAAACACAAAAGACTGCACATTGTTATTCCTTTTGTATATGTTCAATACAAAGAAAAATACATAAAAAGCAAAAGTATACAGTATTCAAAGTTAAGAAAAGGGTGACCTTTTCGGACAAGGGAGGGATAGAAATTTGAAGGTGGCACAGCAGAGGACATCTGAGGTGCTAGATAGCCTATATTCTGATCTTAGATGTGTGCTTGGTATTGATTCATTAAGTGTACACTTAACATTTTCTTGCACTGTTCTATAAATATGCTCTATGTCTTAATTTTTAAAAATTCTAAATATAACAAAACTACAAATACCTAGTAATAAAATTAGTAACAGAGATAAGTTGCCTATCTGAAATAAACAA